ATAGATTCATCTGTAAAAATATGCATTTTTAAAAATTTGTTTAAAAAAAACATTTAGCAAATTAAAACTTGGATTCTATCTCCATTCTACTGAAGCTATTGCAGAAGCTACTGTACTGCCTTTTTATACAGCTTTATTCGTGGCTCAGTACAAGGCCTTATACTTACTTGGCAACACTTAAAATACAGTAGACAGGGTGTTTAACCCTTGCACACATGCTGGAGGTCACATACAAATCTTGGCAGATACAAGATTAATAAATGTTGATTTGCACGTACTCAGATTATAAGCCAAGACATTTTTGTGCAAAAACAGAAAACATCTTTTTCCTGTTTGAGTGTCGGAGCCAACTCTGGCCTTGGCCAGCACACATTTCAGTAAGACTTTGACCATCTACATGGAAGAAAGAAAATCATTCCACCAAAATCCTTTATCTTATAATTTTATTAATGTATTCTCTTTCAGTTTTATCTTCGCATTATTATTTTAAGGAACTATAATCTGTATAATAGTTTTGGGAAAGTTTAGTTTTACTTTTGCGGGTATAACCGGTGACATCACTTCCTCCTTCACCACACTGTTCATTACTTCAATGGAAGAAGGGGAGTTTTCATGGAGCCCTTTTTAGTTTTTGTTTAGTTGGTGTAAAAGGAAAAATGTTTAGCCATGTTTAAGCTAACGTGTTTGTTAGTTGTTTAATTAAGCATGGAATGATTTTCATCGAGTGAAAGGGTTCTGAAAGGGCGCAATGCTATTTTTTGTTAATTAATGGGGTTATAGAATGATTCTATAGGGTATCTGGTCCTTCAGGTCTCTGAGTAGGGTGTGTAACATTGATTGGGCTGAAAATGGCATATTTGCTGTTCTATGAGCCCTAATGCAGCCTGGTTAAAAGCCCTAGAATGAAACGACAGGTTTTCTTCCTTTTAGTTTACAACCAGCGAAGTTGCTGAGCAAAGAAGCATCATAGCAACAAGCACTCACTCACTGAAACATCAAATTGTTGATATGGTAGGGTGACCAGACGTCCTCTTTTTCCCAGACATGTCCTACTTTTCAGTCCTAAAAAAATTTCAGACCTAAAAAAAGAATTTCAAAATCGTCTGGATTCTTGGTCGACTGCAGCGCAGCACGGAGTCGAAACAGTGAGCCAGAGGGGGACGAAGAAACCGAACCCGACCCAGTGACGTTAACCTGTACACCGGCGGCCCGATGTGGTCCAGTCAGCAGCCCATCAGCCCCCCATACCCCCCCCCAAAAAGTGTCCTACTTTTCAGAAACCCAAATCTGATCACTTTAGATCTGCTAGCATTGCTATCAACAGCTTAGTGACAGAATCATCCTTCCAGTCTGGGGTGGGAACAGCCTCTCGTTTCAGAAAAAGAAATTGACCAAATCCTGCTTTGAACTGTCCAACATTTTGAAAGCTGTCTTCGGTAAAATGCTTCAAGCAAATGAACGGCTGAGCTTCAAACTTTGCAGGGATCTTCTGATAGACAAAAATAATCCATGCCTGTGGAGTCTTTGGACAGAGAAACTGCCTGCTTTGTAATTCTTGTAGAAGTAAACCCAACTGTAGGCTAAAAAGCTAAACTGCTGTCTTCCATCTACCTATTCATGTTCTTGGGCCGTGAACCAGTGGGCTGGTCTGGATGTACATTTTGGGGCGTGACAAAAGTCCAGGCTAGAAACAAATAAGGCAACTTCCCAGAGTTCATGTCAACTTAGGACTTCGTTTGGATGTTTAGAATTGTGAGATTTGCAGAGAAAGGAGGTGTTGATGGAGTTTGAACTTCTCTGTACTTCCATTTCACCCATTGAACTATCGTTATTCATCTATAATGCAAACTCTGCATTCTATGAAACCTTTTTAAAAAACAGCCATAACAGAGGAGGAAAAGAACATTCCCTCAAGCTCACATCCAGAGCGCTGCTCACAGATGAACAGCTGTAAATTGGGTAAAGTAAGAAGGTTTGCTTAAATAAATCCTGTAATGATCGTGTGTTATAGTTCTGTTTAGGGCTTCATCTGGTTGCATGTAATATTCTTCTTGTTGCACATATTCACTTGGATAGCCTGTTTCTCTATGCTTCTGCTGACTCCCACTCACGTGCTGCTCTGTCAGACCAGCATACCCCGTCAAACCAATATAATACCTATAATCAATACGCATGCCCAAGACGTCTAATTTACATTTATCTCTTTAGTTTTGTGAGAAAAGTAGACTTCAAACTACCTTGATGGGCGTGTTTCCCTTTGGTCGTTTACAAAATAAACAATTTAAGGTGAGATCGCCATATGCTTCAAAAATATCGAAAAGTAAGTAAATAACAGTAGAAGTCCCAGAGAATTCCAGTTTTCCTGCA